AATTAAATTCTCTTTGATGCTCCCATTGAGGTAATTAGGCATTGATGTTGTATTCTTGCTTAATTTGTGGTTTGGAAATTGTTATATGATTATATGATAGTATTCCATGAGTTGAAGTTATGATTCAACTTGTAAATATTCACATTTTGCACAACTTGATGATTTTTAGAAAGCTTGTATGGATATTGAAAATTGTTATAGCTAGGGTAAGGCTGTAGTACGTGGGATGAGAGTTCCTTCTATTTCATATAGTGCACACTGAGTGGTACCCTGAGGGTTAGTAACCCAAAAACACCAATATAACGGTTTTATTCCAGGTTTAGTGCGCACTAGGTAGTAATTTACGGGTTAGTAACCCGAAACCACTTGCTTGGTCATTGAGACTTTATGTCCTTTGTCTTTCCGCCATTGGTTTCACATTTAATTCCTAGTTGTAATCGTGGATTACTTTTAACTTGTGCTTTAGTGTATGATATTTTATTTTTACTTAATATACTTGGATTTGTATACTTGTATGCCTTGTATATCAAAAATGCTTAGTATATGTGTGAATATGTACTTGTATATATGTTGCATTTCCATTTCAATATTGATTGGCGTACTTGGTGTGTGCACTTGCATATTGATGATTTAGTAAGGTAGATAACTTAGTATACTTGTGGCTTGTATATTTGTCTTACGTGTATTTTTATATTGATTGTATACTTGTGTATGTATACTTGTATATTGAATATCTTGTTGCGTGTACTGCATGCTTCTATGTTGTTTAAATTACATGAATGATGTGGTTTATGTTAGAAATGCTTTAAGGTAACTTATGACGCTCCTTGAGTCTCATCTTGGACATAGACGTTAGATGGCGTGGACCTTATATATTGATTTATATCAATTTAATAAACTATAAAATGTTAGGTATATGCATGCTCATCTCCTACAAGTAACTTTATGTTACTCAGCCACGTAGTGGGGACATTTTTTAGGTACAGGAATCAAGATTCAGGATTTACACTATGCCTTGGAAGTTTCGTAGACTTGAAGTATTCAATTCATGCAAATGTTACCATAAAATGCTATTTGTAGTTTTATATGTCAAAACTTGTATAATTGGTTCTAAATATATAATGTATACATAAGTACACCTTTTGTGAAATATTTGATATGTATAAAACGAGGCCATGGGCCAAGGACTTTTATTTTGTATCATAAGTACTTTTATCTTCAAACTATATTGTCGAAAAATAGAAAAATAGCATACTTTAACTTCATTGCATTTGTATGGGTGGTGGGAAGTGGACTTTAGCACTTCCATAGGTTCCCTTTAATTATGTATGAAGTGTGGCTAAGGGCCAAACAGACTTTTGAGACCATTTGATAATTTTAGTTTCAAGTTTCTCTTTTAAAAGTCATTTTTGGCAAAATTTGAGGTTTAATATATGATATTTTGTATTTAACAACCATTGAGGCCGTAGGCCATTGGAACGCGTGTAAATATGTATATTACGTTTGCGTGAATACTCACCTTACATAAAATATCACATTTGTATGAAATGGATGCTTGTTAGTCTCAAGTTTTCCATTTAAAGCATTTTCTTTGCATTTTGAGGTTCGGATGGGTCGTATTTTGCATCGGGCATTTTTGGTAGCCGCGGACCATTCCCGCGCGCTTAAAATCACTATTTACATTTGCGTGTATGATCGTTTTAGCACACAACACCATTTAGGGTTAAATGAACACTTGGTACAAAGTTGTTTATTTTTTTTCATCATTTTTGACATATCCTGATCTAGGGGCATTTTGAAAATTTTTTTTGAAAAATAAATTTCGGCTTTGATATGGTCAAATCGAAAACGTGATTTTAGGGTGGGTTTCTTCACAACATTTTTTCAGAAAATGCCATCCTGGTCTAGAAAACCCCGTGTCAAATCTGATTTTCTGTGCGCACATGTATTTTTTGAAAAAGTCTATTGAAAGGGCATTTTGGGGATTTCAGGTCAAAATAAAATTTTCTTTCGACATGGTTAGCTTGGAAAAATTATTTTGAGGAGGGTTTTTTCTTCGTGTTTTTCCAAAAAACGCCGTTTAGTACCTCAAAACGACACACGATTTCAACATTTTGCCCAGGTCACTATTCACTGCCGTCAAAACACTATTCATTGTTGTCAAAACACTATTCATGGCTGCGGCAACGTCAAAACTTTGTTTTCACTTTTCTCTTTTATCCGGACTCCGAATTAAGTGATTTTTTAGTCTAACTTGATTAATATTTCTTTTTTTTTTCCAATGGTGTGCTCGGTAGCACCCAAATTTTGCTGAAAATTACCATTTTGCCTTTGAGGCTAAACTTGTCAGTTTTTAAAACGTCTTTTCCGCTTGTTTTCCTTTTGTTTCCATGGCTTCATGAGAAGTCATGATTGTGTCTTAAGGATGATGTACACTTTTAGAGACGTTGTTTCTATGTAAAAAGACCATTTTGACCTTGAGAGTTTATTTGGTCTTTTTCCAATCTTTTTATTTCGCGTTGTTCTCGTTGAGTTCCGTGGCCTCAAGGAAGGTCACTTTGGCGTCTTAGAGATGCATTGCATCTCTAGAGACTTGATTTCTGTTTTCGCTTTTGCATTCAGATCCGTTATCGAGTCAAATTTCGATTCATCACAAAACGCACTGGCTTAAGAAACCAGTGCCGTCACACGGATAATGGGTCCATGTATCGCGGTCCCCTCTCAAAAAAGAAATAAAATAAATAAATAATTTTAAAAAGAAAAATGAAATAAAATTTCTTTCTTTTTTATTTTTATCTTTTGTTTAATTTATATATATATTAAAAAAAAAAAACAAAAAAGATAAAAATAGAAAAGAGTAATGATATCATGAGAGCCCTTTCATGACATGAGGTATAAACTCTCATTATTTAATCACTTGATTGAGACAGTCTTTTCAGATGTGTGAAAATTCAAATAAATTATTTAATAAAATTTTTAATTCGTTGGTTAGATAAAAAGAGATGGTCATGAGAGGTTTCTAATGATAGCATTTCTAAGTAATAACAGTTAAAACATTTAAAATTATTAATAATTATTAATATGTATGTAACATTGTGACCCCAAAATTTGGCAATAAAGGGTATGGTATTGTTGAATTGGTGGCCAGTGAAAATTGTACTTTGGTAACCAAATTTGTGAAAAGGAGAAAAATTAGTTCTAATTGTACTATTGAACCTTATTTGGGCTAATTGATTAGTTAGTTATTTTCAATCCTATAATACTTATTGTCTCTGTAAATATTTGCTGAATTTAAAAAAATCAACTTTGGAGAATCTGTCTTAGTAAGGTCTAAAAAAATCATGTGTATGCAATTTTATCTTCACGGAAAGATCTGAGAAAATATTTTCAAAAAATATTGGCAAGCTTGTAAAGCTAAAAGGAAAAAAAAAAAAATTGTGTGGTCGAAATTGTGTACAACCTTTAAATAGTGAACTTGAAGGCACTAAAGAAAAATTAATATATGTCTTCTTAACGTTTTGTAAGAACCTTAATTTGAGTTATTTTACACTCTACTATTGAAAGTCCACATTGGAGGGAAGTCTCAAACCCAAATTCAACCTCTACCATTTTTCTTCTCATTTTATGCACTTAATGAAAAATACATTACTTTCTATAATGTTCTTTTATTTATACATAAACTTATTTTATACCAAAATATACATTAGGCATATCCATATGGAACCAAATATATATTACATTTACATTTTTTTTTTATTTTTTTTTTTATGTAAGTATTTCAGATCTATAGAATCGTTAAAATGTTCACATAGAACGGGGGTTACCTTAATTCCACAAGGTGGGGTGTGTAGTTTGAATCCACAAACTAGAAGAAAATCCGTACAAAATTCTGAAATATTATTGATAAAGTTAATTGAATCTTCTGCTCTCGCAGTACATCATATTTATAATAAATAAAACCCTACAACTGTAAAAGAAACTAATAACATAAAAGAAACTAATAACATAAAAGAAACTAATTATTTAAGTAAACTAAAAATATAAGAAAATCTAATATAAGAAAATTACCTAAAACTAAAAACTCTCTAAAAATATAAAATAAAAATAAATAAGTAAACCTAATTTAAAAAATTACTAAAATATGTTCTACATCAGTTCTCTCTATTTTAAGAAAACTCCCTCGTGTTTCACTTCGGGTTGATAATATATGAGCATGGACAACATTATGTGCCACTGACTTGATGCCTCATAAGAAGCTTCTTCAATCGCAATACTGAAAAATGCACACTTTGAAACTAGTATTATTTGTGGCCCACCTGCCTCCCCAGTGAACCTTAGTCAACATATTGTTACTAACGCAACACACTAATTTCTCATAGCATTGAAGAAATGACTCTGGAGAATTGATGAACGGCGGCAGCTTTGTGGCATACCCAAAATAAGTGGCAGTAGGTTGTATTGGAATTAATTGCATTCCTAATGAACCTGCTAGTGAAAACTTGGTTTGTGCTTTTTGAGTTGCTTTCAAGGTGTTGAGTGTAACAACCCGGATTTCTTAACCCGGTGCTTTAGTGATGAACCGGAAGTTGACCCGAAATGCGGAAGCGAAAGAAGTCAAATGACCTCAAGAGATATACGTCATCCCTAAGGCCCCAAAATGACTCTCCATGAAGCCACGGAACTCAAATGAGCCAAGCAAATGAAGCAAGAATGCCTAACCCGAAAAGAGATGAACTAAGGGCAAAATGGTCATTTCTCACTGAAAAGGGTGCCACCGTGCACACCATTGGAAGGAAACGAAAAATGAACAAAATTAGACTCAAGAATCGTTTGATTCTGAGTCCGAGCAGAAAAGATATGAAATTTCAACACCCGATGCGAAAGTTCTGAAGCAATGACTTAACATTTTCCAATATTTTCATAATAAACTTTGAAAACAAAAGTGCATAGAAAACGAGATACATGTCATTGGCCTCCGGCCTCATCTCATATATGTTAAATACATTGAAAAGAGTGCACTTACGTACACTTTACATATACGAATCAACGAATACAAGTTTAAACAGATAGGGCTATAAAGAGGCATCTTATGCTAACACTTGCATAAAATAGAACTTAGAAACTGTAAGCCATCCAAGGAGCAATGGAATCTTCAAATCCTGAGTCCTGTACCTGAAATATGCCCCAGTATCGTAGGGGTGAGTAACATAAAGCTACTCGTAGAAGATGAGCATGCATCGACCTAGCATTTTACAATTTTATCACCTTATGGTGAAACATGTTAAAGGAGCTCATGCCACCTAACGTCTATATCAAGATGAGACCCAGGGAGCATCCTAAGCTACCTAGATCATTTCTATCATATCACATTGTTCATGCAATTCAAACAACATGGAAACATGTTATACAAGACAACAAAATATAGATTTTCAAAGTCTTCAACTTGAAATCCAAAATTACGAAAACAACAAGTGTGGCTCATGCCACCTAACGTTTATGTTCAAAATGAATCTATAAGGTCATTCCTAAACTATATTTGAACATCAAAACACAAATTATGATATCGATGCAATTTAACCAACAATAGAACTTCCAATACAACGCATGAAGCATGCTTTCACAAAGCTACATCTTAAGCTCAAAATAGGAAATTAAATAAGGAAAAACAAGTTACGATATCATCTAGTTATCAACTTGAAATGAAATACGAAATCAAACAAAGTGGATACTCGGACGTCACACCGGATCAGACCGACAACATAGTTACTTTAGGGTTACTAGCCCATGGATAACCTCCCTATGTGCGCACTAGACTATATAGAGGGATAATCCCCCGTACTAGAACCAAGTCCTAGCCGTAACCAAACAACGACATCCCCAAATTTCCAAAATCTACAAATTGTGCAACAACGTATATATATCAACATGTATATACAAGATATTAACTATTTACCAAGCACAATCCAAATTTTGGAAACTTATACAATACATGCTCAAAATTCACAACTACTATGGCATGTAAGATGTCAAATACAAAGTGTGCAATTCCTTACACATAGCAACAATATATTCAATAAGGAAAAACATATTCTCATGAATATAAAAGTAACAACTATGTTATCCAATACTCAAAAGTAATCAAGTGAATATACATCAAATCCAAATCCATGATTTAAATATAGAAACAACTTCCAAAATGCAATTAAATCCATGGAGTAATAAAGTAGAATTTAATTAAACATAAATAATTAAATTCTCTAAATTCCAAGTTAATCCAAATAACCTCAATTTAATATATATTGAAAGACATATCATGGTCATCATATATATAACATCAAATGACAAGTTAAGTGATTAAAACACTTAAAACCAAATTAATCAAGCTAATTAATTAATTTCCTCTAGATTTTTAAACAATTCTAAATGCCCTCAATTTAATCTATGTTAGAGAACATGCCAAGGCCTATTTAAATACCACATTACAACTTGATTTAATGTTTGATACAACCATGTGAATTAAACTTTCATTAAAGATAAATATTAAATAAAAGTTGTAATTCTTAATCAAATGATCCAAATTTAATATATGTTAACCAACATATCTAAGTATAATTTCCTAACATGTTACAATTCAAATCAAAGTTATACATCATCATAAATTTTAAATCTTATACAAAGAAATAAAAATTACTAACTTTCTAAATTTGATACAAGGCATACATATATGTTGTATAATCATGGCAAACACACAATACAACACACAAATAATCCTAAAACATTCCCTACCTCAATTGAAATGAAAATCCCAATTACCACCGAAATGAAATCGCCCCAAATTTTCGGTCCGCAAAACAAATTTTTCAACTTGCTACCTTCAACTTGTAAAATTCATAAAAAATTCAATTCTAACCAAAATTGAATGAATCCAAAGCCCAATGAAATCTTAAACACTGTAATTTGATAATATCAATTTAGTTTAACAAAATATTTTCCCAATTGAAATAGTTTTTCCCCACAACTTTGAAACAAATTCTGCCCAGAAAACACATTTTCAGCCTGTAGCTTCCAACTTTGAAAATTTATGAAAAATTCATTTGAGATCCAAATTGGGAAAACCTAATTTATTTTGGAAGTAAACATATGAGAGTATAAAAATGGAAATTTAAGCCATGATCTAATGTCAAAAGGTTAGTGAAATAAATCATCTAAAAATATGTTTTCCAACTGCAATAAAAACATGGACAGCAGATAGTTTCAGATTTTTAAAAAAATTTAGAAATGCTCTAAAATTGTGAAAAAAATTTGAGTAGTGTAAAACCCATGAGGAAAGTTCCAGTAAAAATTTCATGCCAATTGAAGTAACACATCTCCATATAAAAATTCATTTCTGGACAAAAAAGGAAAAGTTTCAAATTTCCAGCAACTAGCTTGCAACTTCAAAAATTCATAACTAATTCATTTTAAATCCAAATTACATGAAACCAAAACTAAATGAAAGATAATTGAGTATATTTTCATATTCTATATTTAGTTTGACAAGATTAATTTCAAGTTAAAACAGTTTAAGGGTAAAATACAAGTCATTCTCTTCCATGCATGTAAAACACTCAATAATGACATAAAAATACTTCAAAATAATAGATCAATACCTCACTAGAGAATTGAATCTCTAGATACCAAAGCAAAACTAGGAGTTAGGCTAGATCCTTCAAGGGTTTTGAAAAGGAGGATAAGAGGAACAAAGAGTATTCCAAATTCAAAGTTCTAAGGTGAGTGAAAGGGCACAAAAAATGAAGTCAAAGCTACTAGTCAAGCTTTTCTCCAATGGTGGCTTCCTTAGGGTTCTTAAGAGGAAAGTAATGAATGAATTAAAATGTGTAAACCCTAAGATAAATTGGTGGGCTTCTCCACTCACTAGGTGCTCTTGCACTACCTCACACACACACACACTAATACAAGACTAAAGGTGAGTCCTACACTTGTCACCAATCCATGGCTCCTTCCTAGGCTTAATCCCACACCTACACTTGTCAACCATCCAAGCCAACAAGTGCACCAATCCTAGGACAACAAGTGGGTGAATCTCCAACCTCCACGTGTCATGAGATTAAGCCTCCAAGTGATTCCACCACAAAATCAACAAGTGGCACCATAGGAATGTGACACTTGTCACATTTTCTGAAAATTACAAAAATGTCCTTTTTGAAAATATCTTTCAATTTAATTTGTAAAATGGTCCCTAAGACGAAAAATAATTACTTTAATTAATTACCCAAAAGCCCCTCAAGTTATGAATAATTGCAAAAAGTCTTGTTTTCATGACTTTTACAAAAAAAGTAAGCATTTAATATGCATTTTTACAAAAGTAAAAATGTAGATGTCATGGAATTTAAATATCATGAACGTATGCAAAACCGGAATCAAATCCAAGCACAAAAAATGAGGTTATGCAAGTAAAAGTGAAAAACGAGAAGATGACAAAATAAGGAAAAGACGAAAAATGAATAGTGTCAAAAAACAAAAAAAATGTGGAAATGACTCGGTTCTCAAAGGAAGTTGTCAATCCAAATGAAAGAGTTTCAGAAACCATTTCCGAGCACTCGAGACGACACTAAGAGGCGGGAAATCGAACCTGAAAAGGAAAAGATAATGAAAAAAAAAATTTATCAGCAAAATTTGAAGAAAAATGGAAAAGGAAGAAAATGACCGGGTCATTACATTGAGGTGGCCCACATAATGATGTATATTAGTACCTACAAAAACCTCCCTCGAAACGTTTGATCATTGCTCAACAACCACCTGTTCATGCATAAAATCATTGCATGTATTTTCGTAAGTAGAATTATTCCCCAACCCTCCTTTACCAACCCAATTCTCAAACTTTTCCATAACATCTTGAACATGCAGATTTGAAATTTCATTAATGCTATTATTAACTGAGTCATATTTTCTACTTTTGACAATGATTTTTTTAAAAAAAAAACCGTCTTTCTTTTTTTCCTCATTCAATTCTGTAACTGCATCATCTTGAACAATATGTGAAGCAATGATTTTTTTTTCCTCACAATCAATCTTTTGAGAATTACTAAATGCTTCTAGAAAATTATTAGTATTCTCCGTCTTGTTGACAAATTGAGTCTTTTTTTGCAATCTTGATATTGGTTTATATGACACATGCTGATAACTTGGTGGTAAAAATTTAGCTATCATCAACCTTTTCATCTTTTATCATGATTGTATAGGTTGTTTTTCTTGCCACCTTCGGTTAGTTTTTACGTGTTCTCACCAAGCTGAAGCACCTTAATTTCTTAAGCATGATTGTTACAAGAGGAACTCACTTGTGTTCGGATATGTCAAAATACTTGAAAAAGTACTCAACTTCATTAAGTCAACCCAAGACATCCTCAACACAAAAACTAGAAGTAGAAGTAAGTAAATCAAGTTTGTTTTGAAACTTATGACTGTCCGGATATCTATAGTTTATGTCACTTCGATCCACCACAACTTCTCTAAATCTGAATTCCTCATCATTGAAAGAATCCGCATAGGCTGGAGGTTTACGTGGATATACAGGAATATAACTTATGCTCGATTGGTTGAAAGACGCATCATCATCGCGATCACGAATTGAACCACCAACCTGGTTGCCACCAATCCCAAAACGTTGCAACCGTTCTTAAGTAAGAATGTCGTGAGAGCGGTTGCTGCCAAAACGACTCTAATACCAATTGACGTATCGAAAAGTGAAAAAACATTCACATGGTACGTGGGTTACCTTGATTCCACAAGGTGGTACCTTGAATCCACAATGTGGTGTAGTGTGAATCCATAAACTAGAAGAAAATTCGTACACCAACATCATATTTATAATATATAAAACCCTACTATAACGGAAACTAGTAGCATAAAAAAAATAATAAAAAAAAACTAATTTTTTAAGTAAACTAAAAAACAAAGAAATCTAATAAAAAAATTAAAAATATAAGAAAATTACCTAAAACTAAAAACTCTCTAAAAATATAAAATAAAAATAAATAAATCTAATTAAAAAATTACTAAAATCTGTCACACATCAGCCTTATCCATTGAGAAACCTTGGTGCATTTGTAATACCCCTAGTTTTGAAAGGGATATAATCGGAATTTTATTGTTTATTTTATTGTTTTCAGTATTTATTTTATTATTTTTAGGTGCTTATGTGGCTATATGTGAAATTTGAATTACGTGATGTGTGAATTGACTGGTTGGTTTAATTTAATTATATGTTTAATTTGTTTTTAATTGGCTTACTTGTTTATTTGTTTTATTTGAATCTCACTGTTTTATTTTATTTTAATCTCACTGTTGTAAGGAATTGTTTAATTAGGTAATTAAGGTAAATGAGTTTTTTTAAATTACGTTCAGTACTTAGGGTTCTTTGAGAAGTCACGTATGTTGGCCGACGTAGATTTTAAATAGGGTTTTCAATGGGCCAACCAGGATTTAGTGTAGGGTTTGAATTGAACCTAGGTCTTGTGTAAACCTATAAATATAGGTATTAAGTTTTACCTAGGGTTTTTGTAATACCCCTAATTTAACAAGGATAATTCTAGAATTTATTTAATTATTTAAATTGTGTTTTATTGATTTAGTTGTGAATTTGTTGATTTCATTATGAATTATTTAAATGACTTGTTTTTGTTTGATTATTTTATTTAATTGTTTATTTAATTAGGTTTTAATTATTGGATGTAATTGTTTTCTTTAAATAGAATTAATTATTTTTCTTGAAATTGAATTAATTGTTAAATGATTTAATTTAGTATAAATGGATTTTCTATAAATAGAGTTTTATGTTAGTAGGATTAATTAAGGGTTTTGGTTTTAGAAGTCACGTATGTAGCCGACATAATTAAGCATTAATTAGGTTTCATATGGGCCGACTAAGGATTTAGTTTAGGGTTTGGATTAAACTAGGGTTTTGTGTAAACTTATAAACCTATAAATATATCTGTATAAGGCTGTCAAGGGTTTAGAACCCTAACCACGTTGTGGAGACAGAAGAAACAGGGAGGAGGAAAACCAAAGGGGCGCCGGGAAAACTTAGAAGAAAGGCGTTGAGATTTCTGAACCGAGTCTCACAGGCAAGTTTTATAACTAGCTCTACCTCTTTGATCTGTGTTCTTTGCATCCCTAACACAATCTCAGGATGTAATAAGGATTAAAACAAATCTGGTTCGCATGCTTGCATTGTTTAATAAACATATGTTTATGATCTGTTAAATTATTTGTTTTACAGTGTTGTTTGTTTTACTGTTTTGTTTTACTTAATTCATGATTTTAATGATGTCAATTGATGGATTAAGAATTTTAATAGTTCTAAAACATAGTGGGAAATATTAAAATTAATCTGGGTCGCAGGGTTAGATACCTGAAACAGTATGTGTTCTTGTATGGATTTTAATCCACTCAGATGCTGTTTTATGTAATTCTTGTTCCATATGATTTGGTTAATAAGTTTTGAATTTAATTAACTTTGGAACTCCCCAAGGACTTAGTTTTAATTAGCAAGAAATTTGGTTTGGAGGATCAACACAGCCGAATACCGCCGGAATTGGAAAAACGACGCACAGGGGAAGGAGCCTGCTCTATTTCAAGTAGAGCAGGCTCAATTAAAAGATGGAGCAGGCTCTACTTTGTAGTAGAGCCGGCTCTACTTGGTGATGGAGGCGGCTCCACTTGGTGATGGAGGCGGCTCCACTTTGGGTGGAGCTGGCTCCTTTGTGGGTTTTCATTTTTTTTAGTTTTCTGCGAGACTGCTAGCTACTGTGCTTGGGTTAATGGGTTTCCAGGGGCAACTGAGAGTTTAATTAGAGGTTCTCAGTGATGTTTAAATTCTACTAAAACTTCAGAAGGCATGAAAATACATATTATACTATAGAAGGTTAGTAGAAGGGGCATTATGAAACTGTTAAGAAAGTTTACATGGTTGCCTTGTGCGGATGATTCAAATTGTTTAATTTTAATTTAGCAATTGAATTAGGAGTTTGATATGTAAATCATTTAATAGGGGTATGGGATTAAGCCTATTAACTAATATAAATTCAGTTAATACTTAATAAGGAACTAGTTGATGGTTACCAAAACAATTGTTTATGTCAACTTGTGGGATGTTGTGGAGTAATTACAAATAAGCATGTAGATACTGTTAATGTTATTTTTATGCTTATTGTGAGTTGCAGGATGGTTATATTTATTTTCTGCATTTAAAATTTGTTAGAGAATCAGGTACTGGATGTATTGAACAAGTATGCTAGTTAAACATTCTTGTTATGCTTATGATTGGGTATGTTGATATTGATATGTTATGCTGTCATATATATATTATCAATTCTGGATGGATGTTTTGTATGCACCGGTATGGTTGGTGACATACTAGGGGGATTAGCTTAAAAATGCTAAGTCCTACCTATTCTGGAATAAGGGATGGATTAACTACAAAAGTTAAGTCCTACCTGTCTTCTGTGTCAGATCAATAAATAATTGAGTGACACTTTGGTTTGGAATGGAATTTAAATATATTTTTATGATGCCGCGATATGAGCCTGAGTCTCAGAGTCGTTGGTTAGGGAGCGTATATGCATTGGGATGCATAGCTGGCTATGATGGTTGGATGTGTACCCTACTAGGACTAGGTAGTCATGCCCACCTTTGGGTGCGTTTTCCCATGGTGCCTACTAGTCAGGTTGAGACGGGCCTGTAGTTCAGTGAGAGTCCTGTAGTGTGATTATATATATATATTTATCTACGGACTATTAGCTATTGTTGGATTGGTTAGGATGTACATGCGTATCGAGTCTCTGCTTGGGTAGTAGTAGTATAAAACTTGCATGTGGGCC